TTTGGGGTGAAGACAACTGCCAGTGTTTGATTGCCGCTGGTGATGTCTGTTACAGAAATCTATAGTGTGCAGGAGCAGATCGCGGAGTTCAAGGAGGCCTTCTCCCTGTTCGACAAGGACGGCGATGGAACCATCACCACCAAGGAGACCAGCACGTGTTCGCTTCTTGGGAGGAAGAAGCAGAATCGGCCGCAGGAATTTTGTTCGTGGGGTTGTTTGCTTCCGCCAGCCGAAGCCAAGAGGAGCTGGGCACCGTGATGCGCTCTCTGGGCCAGAACCCGACGGAGGCCGAGTTGCAGGACATGATCAACGAGGTCGACGCGGACGGAAACGGCACCATCGACTTCCCCGAGTTCTTGTCTTTGATGGCCCGCAAGATGAAGGTGCCTTCGTCTTCCGAAGCATTCTGAGCTCCTTACGCGTATATGATGTGTCCTGACCCGAGCCCAACCCGACTGCCACTCCTGGTGTTGCGTGCCACGCTTGGGGACGTCTCTGTTCGCAGGGGAAGTTGTGCGACCCTGCATGACCCTGCTAGATCCCAAAATCCACACGTCGCAGCATCTTGCCCTGGGTCAAAGGACACCGACACGGAGGAAGAGCTCATCGAGGCATTCAAGGTCTTCGACCGCGATGGCAACGGCTTCATCAGTGCGGCCGAGCTGCGGCACGTGATGACCAACCTGGGCGCTTGACTGAGGGGTCTTGCTGGGGCGCATGGAAGTGCTAATGGACTAATGGTTGCTGTCTCCCGGAAGCGTAGTGGACCGTGGTCGCCGTGGTCGGTAGTTTGTTCCTAGGTGAGAAGCTCACGGACGAGGAGGTCGATGAGATGATCCGCGAGGCTGATGTGGATGGTACGGACCTCAGACTGCGGCTGACTCCGGTCTGGTTTTTCCCGGTCAGATCCTGCCAGGTGACGGCCAGATCAACTATGAGGAGTTCGTGAAGATGATGATGGCCAAGTGAGGCATCGAACCTGATGCCGCTTGCACGTACCAGTCACTGCCGTAACTGACTTGGGCCTGTGACGCGATTACCCGCTCGAAGCTCTATCATGGATCGCCGCTTCGCATCAGAGAAAAAGCAGCAGTGGTAGT